TGGTTTATAATACTGAAGATAATATTCTGTAAATAAGTAAATAACTTTCAAATTATTACATTTAATATGTACTTACAATTTTCAATTTTGATTTTTTTTTTCTTTTCTAGATTACAAGAAACAATTTATCCTCAAGTGGGGACATGTTAATTTATTTCACAATTGTTCTGAATTGTATCCAGGACGATTTTTTAAAAAGATGGCATGTGCAGGCAAGCATCAATTTTCTTACTATAATTTCTCTACCATCAAGCTCTCAGTTTAGGTCATATATGCTGGCTAAGAATCTTCTAGACTTAGGAAAGACAATAAACTGACTACCACAGTATTACTGTAGGCAAAATGCCAGCCACTGAAGCCTGTAGCATCCACCATTACACACCTATTCAAAGCACAGTTCAGATGACAGCAACCTTCTATGATTATTTGGCCAAATGTTTGCATGTAATTTGAGTTGCATTTTCTAAATACACAAACACTTTACAGCCTACTGAACCTCCTGCCTCCTACCTACTCCTCAGTATTTGATTCTGATTCAGCAACATATTTGAGCAAATGCCTGTACTAGAAAACACAGCCCTCTTGACTAGAATGTAACTATTCATCTGCTTAGGCATTGGCTACTGTCTCACTGCATCCCGGGAAAAATACAATTAACTTTTCAAACTTCAATCAGTCTGCCGGGAAGCTGGTTGTCATTCATAGTATTAAAATTAGGATTTTGAATACACAATTTTGCTTCTCAAGTGACAAAAGGTGTTGCCAAATACACGACTAAAAGAGCAGTGAGTATTCAACTTAATAGGCAGGTAGTTTCAACTGTTCATTAAATCAAACAGTAAGGCAGTATTTAAACAAACTAYTCAACAAGAAAATAAAAACCAGATATAAAAGCCAAATATTTTGTGATTAAATTAACACATCACCTGTAAGATACTGCGGTTTATTTACTGCACCAATTCTGTAAATTACCTCCTTTTTCTTCAATATATTTCAAGTGATCATACTTTAACACAAGGGGACAGTGAAGTACCACATGAGACACATTCAGAAAGGRGATATCTGGGGTTAACTTCCCCTCCCTGATGAAAATAAAAACTTTAAAATTAAGGGCTGRTATGCACAGGAGTTAGTAATACAAGCAAGTATTAATTAAACTGATTAAAGGCAACAAAATCTTGTTTCATAGGATTAGTAATCCCAACTCTGAAAAGTTTATGTAACTCWCAGTAATGCAGAGATTCAAGAGATTACATTTTTAAAACCTTGGGGACTYATGCTTAGTATGGGCTTCTTCATACTAAGACAGTCAACCAAGCAGAAAAGTGTAGCAAGGATATCAGAAATTATTAAACTTTTACTGAGTATATATGAAAAAAGCATAAATAATATTCTAGCTGTGTAGCAGCATTTCTGTTTATACCMCATCCATCTTGATTCATTTCTTTCCTGAGTATTGGATTTGCTGACCTGCAAACAAGTGGGTTTGTGAACAGTGAAACATAAAGGGCACTGGATCCTACACACTCATGCCTGGGGCTGCAAAAGGTCCTTACTGGGACCCAGACTGTGCACTGGGGGCACTTACAGACATTTGCTCTCCCTCCCATCCCAGGATTCAYGTGCTCTCCTTCTTGTACTTGCCCACCTGTTTTCATAAAGCTGTTAAAGAAAATAATTGTACAGAATTGCTGGGTAGAGAGGACACCGAAGGCAGACACGCAGGCGTACGCATATTGCGTTATCTTCACTTGCTAAGGAATCAGTCCACAAATCTTATTCCCTGTTCCATTTTTATGGGCTACTTCTTATAGTAGGGATTGTGGCTGAATTCTTCTCTGTTGCACTGGGTAAAACAAGGCTTGCATAACTGATGAGAAAGCAAATGAGAATTTGGGCCAGCCACAAGTATGAAGAGAGGCCCTACACTTGAAAAGGGAAGTAATAGACTGAAGAGGTTCATAATCACCTTTACTGGTGACCATTAAGCAAACACCCAACAGGAAGCAACATCTGAAAAAAAAACCAATCTGAAAAATCTCCTGAGCTCTGCCTTGTGTGSCAGCTTGTAGCTGAACTTATTTTTGCTTTTTATTTCCTCTTCAGGTACTTACGATGGCTCTACAGACAGCTGTAAAGGTGATTCAGGAGGCCCCCTGGTCTGTTTTGATGCTGAAAATGTGGCCTACGTGTGGGGTATCGTGAGCTGGGGTGAGAACTGTGGGGAGSCTGGTCACCCTGGCGTGTACACACAAGTTGCCAGCTATTATGACTGGATTAGCCACCAYGTGACAAGGAGTCTCATTTCACGGTACAATATCTGAAGCTCGGAAAATTAAATGCTTCCTTCATATCACCCATGCAAAAATAGCCCTTTTTCACAATCAACAGTCATGTAACTTAGCAACAATCAGTACAAATCTTTAAAGAATGCATTTTGAAAATTCTTAACACTCTACAAATACCACAATTTTGCAGAGCCTGTGGGAAGAGAATTTTACAAGCACAAGTCCACAGCAAAAGTCTCTAATAAAAGCAGATATTAAAATACCTTTTTCTTGTTATTTTGAGTTCTTTTCCACTTTTCACATTGCATTTCAGTTGCTGTTGTTTATTTAGCTAAAAGGGATAATGATACTGGAAGCAGTGGTTGGAAAAGGATTGCAATGTCCATATGTGAACTTCAGTATGTCAACTCAGAAAAGACAGCAACCAGAGCACTTTAAACAATTTATATCATCTCAAGGTCTAAGTCACTAGAAGCCCTCAGGAGGCTGCYTTGCCTGGTAGTTGATTCTTTAAGCTTATTTCAGAAGCAGAGTTCAGACCATCTGTTAATCAACAGATTGGCTATGACCATGAGATTTGTTGTAATGCAATAATTACTCAAATATTAAATCTGCTTGGTGGTAGTTKTTGCAGCTACAAACTCACACAGTATCTGGTTAATATACATCATCCGATCATCTAGCCTGGGGCAATTTTTGTAGCTGAGTTTTATTAATTTAMCAGCAGCTGGTCACAAACAACAAAGGAATTCTAAAGCTTAAACCTTCAACTTAAATAAAAAGCATTTTTACTGTCTTAAGATCTCTGTGTATATATATATGTATGTATTTCTAGTATCCAGCGAACTTCCAACACCAAGTAGAGTCTTGCTGTGTTACACACACTATCACACACTATATGTGTATATATATGTATTTGTACACACACACAGAGTTTATATAACAATATAAATATATAAAAAGTCAATATATTATACACATAGACTTAATTCTACAAAACCAAGTAGCATATCTAAAGGTAGGCTATTTGCCATCATCAAGAAAACTACTACTTTAGAMTACTTTATACCCTAAAATTCTTTTTGAAGCACAGAATTTGATTTGTGGATTGGTACCCTATACAAAAAATACAAAACTCACATAGCTCCACGACCATCTCAGCCAGTTGTATCAAAATGTTCAATAGTTTTAGAACATTCTTGACTGTACTCTAATTACAAATACTGTTAATTTGTACTTTATTCCTCTCAATTAATTAAACTCTTCATACAACACAGTTGTTGTGGTGGATTTTTTTCTATAATTCACCACAGTCAGACAACAAAAATTTTTACATTTTCACTGACTTTTCTTCTTCCAGACTTGTAAAAACCTCACATCAGAATGAATTTGTCATGTAAAGACACCATCAGTCACCACAATAAGTAAAGTAAGGATAAGTTGCTTCTCTTGACACACACACCGTCAGCAAGGTTTGCTATTTAGGAAAGCATTGAAGTATATTCCTGCACAGAACTTATTTTGCTGAATCAAGGTCTTGGTGAAGAAATCCTAAATAGGAAAAAACTGGACAGGTGTACGAAGGGCTCCCTCTTTTGTTTGACTTACTTTACTTCTGTGAGAAACTTTTCCCACAATTTCTTCAGWTAACTACACATAGTATTAAATGCTGAGGTTGCAAATAAAAAAAAACCAGAACAGCAGATGAGGTATCTTTATGCTCTGTCTGATCTCAAAGTGTCTTGGTTCTCCTTCCATTTCCTATTTTTCTTTACATTTGACTTTTGCTCTGAAGCCAAATAYTACTATTTTCCGAGGGATTCCACACAACATCAGTTGCGATTTTCATTACAAAAATTAAAATAATTTTCACATAGTTCCACGTCAGCTTATCTGTGAAGCATATAGCATTTAAACATGAAATTAATTTTAAAAAAATCCTTGAAACCAAACACGCTGTTTAGCAAGCAAGCTCATTTTGGTCTRACTTTTGTTTTCAGCAAATCAAGACTGCACCTTCACGGTTTAACAGATACACTTTCATTTTGCTTTGTTTTCCAGCCTCGCCTTGCACTTTTGATAATGTCACGAGAGCCACTCACACGTGTAAACGTGACCGGGTCATTTCCTTTCCACCGCACATCGTAAAACCGGGCACCTGCCGGGGCTTTGCTGGCCCTGCCCCAGCCAGGTACAAGCCGCAGGACCCGCTTGTGACGGGACGGGTCGGGCACGGTCCCCGCGGAGCACAGCGCACACGGAGCGCACCCGAGGGTACAGGACCCAAGGAGCGCTCCCCAGGGAGCACAGTGCACAAGGAGCGCTCCCCGTGGGGCACGGGACACGCGAGGCACACATGGGACACACAGAGCGCTCCCGGCGAGCACGGACACACGGAGCGCTCCCCACGGAGCACAGAGCACAAGGATCGCTCCCCGCGGGGCACGGGGCACACGGAACGCTCCCCGCGGGTACAGGACACAAGGAGCGCTCTCCGTGGGGCACGGGACACGTGAGGCACACACGGGGCACTCGGAGTGTTCCCCACGGAGCACAGCGCACACGCAGCGCTCCCCGCGAGCACGGAGCACCCGGGCACACGGCACACGGAGCGCTCCCCGCGCTGTCGGGGCTGCGCGGCCGCGGCGCCGGGCGGTGGCAGCGGGCGGGGGAGGCTCCTCCCCGCGGGGCGGAGCGGGTGCACGGGCGGGGCCGCGGGGACCATGGCGGCGGGTACGGTGGTGGTGGGACCGGGCCGGGCCGGGCAGCCGGCGGAGGAGAAGGCGGCGGCTTAGCGGGCGCGGCATGGCCCGGGCCCGGCTGTCGCTGCTGCTGTCCCCGCTGCTGGTGCTGCTGGTCGCGGCCTGCGCCTGGCGGCCGGCGCGGGGTCARGAGGCGCCGCAGAGCCCGGACTGGCGGACGACGCTGAAGACGATCCGCAATGGCGTGCACAAGATCGACGTGTACCTGAACGCGGCCCTCGACCTGCTGGGCGGCGAGGACGGGCTCTGCCAGTACAAGTGCGGTGACGGTGAGCGGGGCTGGCGGCGCGACCCTTGCTCCGGGCAGGCCGGCCGGGTCTATAGCGCCCGCCGAGCGCCGCTCCGGGGCAAACCTCGCTAACGAGCTCTTAGCGGCGTACAGCTCTATAAACACGTGTACAAACCTCGGCAAGCAGGTCCTTGTACGTGTATGTGTGTTTAAATGCATTTATAACTTGTTTGGAACATGCATACGCGTCAGCAGCTCTCTTAACGTGACCTTCAGATCTTTGCGTGTAAATGTGTCCAAGACGTKTGCCTTGTCCAATGTGTACAGCTGGTGTGTACAGGGAGAAACCCTGGAGTGGGAAGAATTGCTCCCTCCCAGGTTATTGACTCCTGAGCATTTCGGTTAGGGACAGAAAAGCTTAAATCTGAGCTATGGAATACGTTGTCTCAAAGTCATGCTTGAACACCAGGTTTTACTGCTGGCTACGTTTGCCAGTGGAAGGAATGCATCCTGCTATTTGGAAATCCTGCTGCGACCAGCAGAGGACAACTGTGCTTTTTCCCTGCGTTTCATCTGCGATTGACCCGAACTCTTAYTGTGGCAGCTCAAGTTGACATGACCTGATAGACGATGATGGTTATTATTATCRTCATTACTATTACTATATCAGACTATTATTATTATTAGGAGAACCCTGCTTGAGCAGGGAGTTTGCACCAGATGACTCATTGCAACCTGACCCGTTCTGTGATCACCTCGTCTGCCGTGCCCGTCCCGGGTGCCAGGTGGATGATGCTCCAGAAAGGGGGTTTCTTACCAGGCTTTTCCCTGACCCTCCAGAAGCACCCCAGAACGGGAGGCTCACGTAGCCTGTCATGGTGGAATCACATCATTCCCAGTTTACTGTGTTGGATATTTGTTAAATGAGGAAATAAATCTGGTGGTGGCACCCTGGCTGGCTCTACAAGAGTGGCCAGGACACGGTGACATTTCCTCTTTGTACTAGAAATAYGTACCTTTCAAATGTGTTTTTTTTTCTTCTTCATTATTTTTAATTGCGGACTTGTTTCTTTCCAATACCAAAACAAGCTGGAGGGTCATTTTTCAAATTAACTCTACAGTCTTCCTTAACTTGGGATTCAGAATTGCTTGGCTTGCTGCAGTAGCAAGTGTTCAGGGAGATGTGACTTTAGCAGTCTCTACTGATTTGAATTCTATTAATGTTACAGCTGTAGAAATAAAAATGATATTTCATTCCAGTGAAGATAAAAAAAAATCAGAGAACTACTATTGATTGCATATAAAGCATAGAAGTATTAATGAACTTACACTAAAATACTCTGTTAATACATGTACTCCTATATGTTGCRTACTTAAAACATCAATTATAGTAATTCTTTTTTTTTTCTTTTAAACTTGGAAAGCAAACATTGACATTTGCTCAGGTGTCTTGTCCCCCTTTTTTTTAAAAGCAATGCCTAGTACCCCTAAGTTGTAGTTTGGAAACGATCGTTGATATACAGGTGCCTGAATATATGTTTTAGTTAAAAATATAACTGATACTGTCTTAAACCGAAAATATCTGTGGTGAGTTTTAAAAGTGCTAAAATTCTGTGTAAAAACTCTATTTGAGACGTGATAAATGACCTTTTTCAGGATCAAGACCCGTTCCTCGCTCTGGATATAAACCAGCACCACCAAATGGCTGTGGATCCCCTCTATTTGGAGTTCAGGTAAGCATTTAAGTATTTCCATTTTGGGGCTTCTTTGTGTGTCTTTCATACATCAGCTTTTCCTCAGTGTAGATGATTTTTTCCACCCCCCTTTCTGACAGATTCATACACAAGGTCCCTGCTCTTATCAGCTCMCAGCACGTGCTCTGGTAACAACATATGGAAAATGTTAGTATTGTAAATGAACACAGCCTGAACAATTTCAAATATTACAAGCATAAAATGTAATGTTGATGGTTAATTTGTTGGGTTTTGAATATTTGGTTTAGTATTCTGTTTACGCCGTCTTGAAAGCACTGAATAACTGCWGCTGTAGCTCTTCAAGAGTGAAGGGTTTGCCTCTGACTCTGCTGGCCTTACTGACACTGACCCTTTTTCCTTAATTCTAGAAAGAAAATACGATTTAGCTTGTTGTCCTCCAGCTTTGGGATTTTCTCTTTTTCCCCCCACTCTGCCCATCCACCCCCCCAGAGCATAGGCTGGGGCTGGGCAAGGGCTTGGGAGGGGACACAGCTRAGGCAGCTGACCCAAACTGAACACAGGGATATTCCACACCACATAGTGGTGCTCAGCAGTAAAAACTGGAACAGTGGGAGAAGGTGGGGAGGRGATAATGGTAGAGCTGTGAATGGCTTCCTAGGTGGCTGTTGCTCAGAGACTGGCTTGGCATCCCCTCTGCTTGTGAGGTGTGGTGAATGCTTTTCACACTGCTTATTTTGGGACATCTTTTTATTATTTTCTTCATCTATTAAACTTTCTTTATTTTAACCTTCAAGTTTTCTGGCCTTTGCGCCTCYTATTCTCCCCTCCATTCCATGGAGCAGGGCAGTGTGAGGCAGCATCTCTCTGGGTGCTTGGCTGCTGCCAAACCAGCACACCTTACTAAAGGTGATAGCAAAATACAGAGACAGGTGAATGACAGCAGGATTGATCACATGAGTTTTCAATTTCTAACTATTACAGTCTATCCATAGGCTATACCTTTCTTAACTGGGATACTAATGGAAGTATGTGTGCATTTTCTTCCCAGTTTGACATTGGCATCCCTTCAATGACAAAGTGCTGCAATCACCAYGACAGATGCTATGATACTTGTGGCAATAAAAAAAATGATTGTGATGAGCAGTTTCAGACCTGCCTCTCAAAAATTTGCAGAAATGTGCAGAAAACACTTGGAATCTCAGAGAGTGTCCAGGGTAAGTGTGAAAAAGCCTTTTTTTTTTTTTTCCCAAGTTTAACTCAAACTTAATTTGGCAAAGAATCTATGTGCAGTGCAGCAAGGCCACATTTTCATAAGTTGATGAAAGAGACCTTGTTCTGACCCTCTGCTGTGCAGCCCAGATGCTTGTCCAGCAGAGCAATGACACAGCATAGAAAAATGGTCAGGATTAAAACTAACTTTGAGTTAGTTKTAACTTYAGGGGAAAAAATAATGCTGCCCRTTTGGGAGTATGARTATGGGAATACAGTTTGATCAAAAYGCTGTATAATTTTTGCATTTATTGTAATRTAGTTGTTATCTGACTGTTCTGCTGGGTGATTTCTAAACATCTATGTGTGATTGCTAGTGAACTGTAGGAAAATACAGAATCTTTTCCTGTTATGAAATAAGGTATTAAAGCAATATGCTGTCATAGTGGAAGTAGTTAATGGTGTCCCCTAGTGAATAAAGGTTAGGTTTCTTAGTAACAGGCCATATGATACTCCTGGTTGTTGGCCTGCATCTGATGAGTACATGACATAATCACTTTTTAATTTGGACAATGCCATTTTCACAGTACATACTCCCACTGAGAGCAGTAAATTTTTAGAACAACCCTATGTTTGAGCTTCTCAAATTCATTTGACTGCAAATAAATCATCATGTTAGTCATTATTCTAACACAGATAACATTCCATAGGCAATGAATTTTTTAGTTTTGTTTGACATATAAAAAAATCCTTACTCAAAATTTAAATGAATCTGTATTGGTTCAGTCTTTCATTTGGCAATCTGTTTGCTGTGCCCAGAGAAGTTTGTTTCTTTCTTAGAGTCATTCTCAGCTTGCCTGAGTTTTCTCTGTTAGTTTCATATTCCACTCAAAGAGTACTTTTAACTGAACTCTTCTTTGCTTGCAGCTTGTGAATCCACTGTTCAGCTGCTGTTTGATGCAGTTATACATTTAGGATGCAAACCATACCTGGACAGCCAGAGAGCTGCTTGTATGTGTCGTTACGAGGGCAAGACAGACCTSTGAAAGAAGACATTGAGATCTCATGGTGTACAACAAAGCCGAAGATTCAGCTGAAGTGAAGCAAGTCTTTGGTTATATGACTTCATGCTTTTTCAGACAGTAGTGTATTAAACACTGACATGAATTTACTGATTGGAAAATCACTACGATATTCTTACCCACGTAAGAAGCTTGGGAACTGAAATTGCTTTCCTTTGGTTTACATCCACCTAGGGCGGGCAGTTGTAAAACACTGGTGCCATTTTAATGTTCACAAGAGAACTCCATGGTGGGGACATCAGAGGCATCAAATAGTTATATTGAATTCTCAGGTGATTTTTAATACAGGTCAAATTTTAGGTTTACTAGCAGTTCAAGTGTCTGATGGGTTCAACAGGAAGGAGGGTGTTGTGTGTACCAGTCTGACATCTTACATAGCCTGTGCTTTCATGTTTCCCGTGCAGTTGCCTTCAGTTCTCTCTGACGTGTGTGGTCCTGCAGGTTTGTTTTTAAAACAAGGAAAACAGCCCAAGCCCGTGCACGTGTACTRCATATTTCTTCCTGATTCTGTATCAATGCCTTACTTCTGCAGCACCTTTCAGATCATATAYGTTGATCCTTTTAAGGGTTGTCCAGTAAAACAAAGAGTTTGCAGCCTAAGGATATGCTTTTGATTTGACAAAATGGTGAAATGTAGTTTCTATGTTATTTTTTAAAAATTCATCAAATGTCTATTTTTGAATAAAACATTTTGTGTTGCGTATTGGATGCGCAGAAAGGATATAGTGTTTAAATACGTTGATTTTTATTTCTTTTGTGGCACAACTTGGCTATTGTATTCACCTTTGYTTTCATTTAGTCTGTTCTGATGAAAACGAAAAGTAAGTTCCACCATTAAGATCAGTACATCAAACCAACTTTTTAATTTAAGATGCCCTTTGTGAGGCTGATGAATTTGTGAGCCTGTRCTTCTGTCATCTCTTCTCTCTCTGACTTCTCTAGCTAAAATCACCTGATGTCTGAATAACTTGGGGTTTACTCTCAGTATTCAGCTTTCATTGCTTATCTACAGGTGTCAGTCCTTAGTTAACTTCTGCATTAGGTCCTCTTTTAGAAAGATGATTTGCTTTCATGAAAAAGCARATCATCTTTCTCCTTTACATAKCCACAGGAGAGGRATGGAAATTGAAGTACTGCATCTGTGAACAGATGCATAAAATTCAGTGGACTTATGGACTGTAATATGATACGATTTTGTGTGGTTTTTCTTTACCAGTTGTGGTTTTGRTTTGTTTGTTGCTAGAGTTTACTGTACATGATAGTGAATGTAWGGGCCTTATAAACAAAAAGTTTCTGCTAAAATTCTTTGGTCATGCCTCAAGGTTTCTTTCCTTATTTATGGATATGAAATAGCACTACAAGACCAGTATTACTGTAGAATTTACAAAATTGTCCTTGATGAGCTTGTAGTTCCCCTACATTTGGTGACAGTTATTTTCTACTATAGAATTGAAACAATTCTGAATTACCCTGAAATTCTGTGGTTGTAACTCAGAAAATCTTTTTAACAYTAAAGCAGGATACAGTAATGGCATTGTTTGTGTAAAATGAAGAAARTACCACAATGAGTCAAAATCACTATAATTCAGCTATATGGCTTGCTGAGTTCAGTACAAACTTAAACTAGCCCATGAATGCATGTCCTGGGTTTGGATGGGATAGAATTAATTTTCTTCCTGGGAGCTGAWGCAGTGCTGTGCTCTGGATGTAGTGTGAGAATAWKKTKRWWA